TGTATTCAATAAACATCAGCTAAATTCGAAGTTTTTCGATACTAAATTTTTTTTTTTTTATTTTTTTTATTTTTATATTACCCATTAACTAATCAATCTCATAGATCATCTATAATTTATACATGTCTTTCTTTCCATGTCTTTCTTTCTTTCATACCGATTACTAGAACCGAATTTCTAATCAAACTCACATATATATTACACTTAATAGTTCTAAATTAACTAAATTAATTAAATCTATATTATTAACTAATTAATAAATTATATTAACCTCCAAGCATGATTCAATGATACTACTAATTGCTCTAAAACTATTCACTTGTCTAAGCCTTAATTTAACTTCTCCTAACAATATTTATCCAAGTTCCTAATTTAGCTTACATCAATATTATACCGATCGCTTCTTAACAAAGTTATATTTGTTTGATTATTCATCCAAATTCAATTTAATTAACTAATATTTACTAAGTTTATAATTTATATCGAAGATAAAGAAACTGGTCTTAGAACGTACCGATTAAGAATCGGACGACGATTCCATGCTCAGCGCGAAGAGAAGAGCGTTTTGTCTCTCGGGCCTCACCGGAGTGTCGCCGGCCGGTCACCGGACCGCTGCCGCCGACCGCCGTGCACGGTGGCGGAAGATCGAAACTGTGCCTGAAACTGAGCCACTCTAATTACACCATTAGACTCGTTTTTCGCCAGAAGTCTGCCAGAAGTCCGATTCCGGCGTCGGTTTAGCGAGATCAGTCCCTCTCGTTGGTTGAAACGGCTCGCCAGGGCATAGAGCCGCCACCAACGTTGCTGCCAATCCATGGAAGAGAGTCGCACTCGCCTGAATCGCAAGCCGGGGACGGAGACAGTGAGATCAAGCGTGGTCTGTGGCGGACTCGATGGCATTGAGTTATGGCGCTGCTGTCGCGATCGAAGAAAGAGGGAGGAGGGGCTGTTGCGATCGCAGCTTCCAGCGACAGCCTTTTGCATTAGAGTTGAACGGAGAGGCGCTGTGACAAGACCGGACTTGCAGCGGCGAGGAGACATCGGTGAGAAGCTCAAGTGGCTGGATCCGGAAGGGAAAGGGGGAGGAGTCGCGTGCCTGAAGAAGAAGAAGGAGGAAAAGAAAAGAAGGAAAAAGAAAAATCTAGGACATTCTGGTTTGATTCAAATCGGTTCGGTCCGATTTAGTGATTTGGTCTCATTTGTTTGGTTTGCAGGTTTTTTGTTGCAGTTTTTTTTTTTTTTTTTTTTTTTTTCCAAGCATGTTCTGTGTGGTTTTTCCGAAAGGTCCCAACTTTGGTTTTAAAGTCCAGTTCGTTATTCTATAAATGTATTTAGTTTGGTTCATAATATTTTCTCCATTTTACCTATCAATATTAATATAAAAATATTAAATAGATACACTATTTAGGTTTAAAGATATTCAATTCATACATATTCATAATAAGGTTAACATTAAGGCGTTGTTCGTTATTATTTCTCTCAAAAATTTTTAAATCATTCTCAAATCGACAATTCCGATGATGTATTAGGGCTTAAGGCCAACTCACAACTTGGGCTCAGCAAATTGAGATTGTTGATATATAACTAATAGCCCAAATAGTGAACAGTCGATATTTTTTGATTTATATTAAAAACTTCCGAAATTTCGAAAATATAAAAATTCGGGGTGTTTCATTTTGATCCTTCAATTAAAATTGTCTTTTTTAATTGAAATTATATATTTTTATCCTTGCGAAAATCTGAGTTTCTGCTTATCATCCCAACAAATACTTTATGGTTATAAACTATAAGTTCTACATCCTTCTAATAAGCTTACAATATTATTATCGAAAGAAAACTAATTATATTTTTCTTTTTTGTAATGTTATATTCTAATAGAATGATAATGTTCCTAAAATTAGATTTAGAAAAAAATAATTATTATCAAAATAATTCAACAATTATAATTTTTATTGAATTTCAAAATTTTTCAAAATATTAAAAATTTTAAAGGAGTTTTAGCAATCATAAAAACAAAGAAAAATTCTACTTTCTTTGGCCAATTTTCTCTTAATTGGAGAAATTCTAAAATATCTTAGAGTATGGATGAAAAATAAGTTAAATTTTACCTCAATTATTTTTCTTTTGGCGATTCTTTTGTTACCATATTTTTTAACTTAAAAAAAATTACTGTCCATATAATAAAGGCTAAGGTTGAAATATTAAAAATAAAAAATTTTACAGAAAAAAAAAAAAGTACATCAGAAATCTTTTCTCCTTTCTTTTTTTTGTTTACACCGATAAAAGTGTTTGACTTAATGACTAAGAAACAAGAGACCGTCTTAAAACCACTAGCATTGGTGTGAGTGTTAGTCCCATCCAAACATATAATGGCTACTTTTTTAGGTTTTGTGGGCTCACCGTTTTTAATCAGTTGGACTGGCCCATCATCTTCTTTTTATGCTCCCAATGCATTTTTTTTAGCATAGGCAGCTTGTATAATCTCCTTCGGACTGCGAGCTTTCTTGTCCCTTCCAGTAGAAATACACTTTTTGAAAATTAAATTATTTTCACTTTTATTAGAATTGAAGTCACTTAACACTTTAAATAATATTTTTCCATTAAATATGAAATCTCCATTTAATCAATTCTTCATAATCGTCAGTACAGGTATTTTTTACATTGTGTCAATCCGAACCATAAATTTCAATTATAAAGAGAATTTATGAACTGCGGGATAATTTTTTTAAGCCATACCTATCAATAAACAATTTAACCAAATCTTATTTTTCTACTGATTAATGTGAGGGTTTTGAATTCAACATAAATAATATATGGAGGCATAAAGTAATGATTATTATTCACTTAAATCGGTGAAAATTTTTTTTATTAAGATTCAATCTCTATATCAGCGAGAAATTAATAAAATGCTTTCGACTCAAATGCATATCCAGTCGCATCAACTTTTCAAAAATTTATCTCTAAAATCAAATGAATCTATTAAGAATTTGAGAAAGTCACCAAATTTATTCGATCATTGCTTTTCTTCATCACCTACTCCATGTTAGGTAAAGTATAAATCCAGTGGTCCCAAGTTGAAAAAATTGGAGCTTTGTTTTGCTTGCCTAGCATGTATGCAACGTGGCAATAACCTTACAAGCAGCAAGAAATTCCGGGATTTATACTTTATTTTGTAAAACTTTTTAATCCCTAATCTATCTATAATTGTCTACTAAGAAGTCAAAAAAAGTATACTATTACAGTACATTTTACTTGAAAAAAAGATAAAAAGTCAGAAAAAGTGAAAGTAGAAAAAAAATCATTTAGTCTAAATTATATTATTTGTTCAAAATTAATATTTTAAGTTGTTTAACATTGTTTGAGATATTTTTTTTTCCTTTTATATTTTTTTAAACAGTTTGTATTTATGTTGCAAATTCAATGAATTCTTTAATAGAAGTATAAACATCTAAACAGTTATTCAACATAAAATTTATTAAATATTTTTTAAATACACTTTTTTTTTTCGTTTTTTTTTGGAAAAAAAGAAATGCTAACTCTCAATAATTTGTCATTATTCTTTATCTCAGAGAAATAATACCATATAGCAAAATTCGTAACGGAATAGTGGATTAAACTATTGATTCATTGGAACCACAGTGGACTAAGCATCGTTAGGGCTAATTTAGATTTAACATTTAAACTTTTTTAATATTGATGTCCATGAAACCACATGCCAGACAATTATGAATTTTGAATTTCTTTTTCTCTAAACAACAAAACTAAAAGTGCAGAGAAACCGCAAAATGATCATATAAACTTTTTTGTTGTGGTCAAGAGAACCAAATATTCACCCACATCTCCCTGCATATATTTGTTTAAGGTAGCTGCTTCTGGGAAATTGCAAACGTAACTTCTGGTAAATAGTGTAATTTTACCCCATTATTATCACTCTCACACCCTGTGGGAATTGCTTCTTAGATTACAAATAAAAAGTTAAATATGATAAAGACGTTGTCTATTTTAGAATACAAAAAAATTAAGTATGACAAAAGCCTTGTCCCTTGTCAAAATACCAGAAAAATGCCACACAAGAAGTTAAAATCTTGGTATAATAAATCTAAGAAAAAATACACACTGATCAAAAGGCACCAGTATCCAATGTTTCCTAATATAACACTCTCGACAAAAATGTTTATATGAACTAACAGCAATGACAAAACCAATCTACATATTTGATCGAACTCTCAGAATGGGTAAAGGATATAATTGTCATCTTGGCAAAACAAAGATAATCAATTATAATAATTCCCCCAACACAAAATCCTTCCAGCAGGGGTGTAAAAAACTATAGAAACTACAAAAGGACAAGGTATTCACAAGATTCAAGAGTATTTGAATAACTGATTTCTGGAGTTACTTCTTTTACTAAATCCACCATCCTTCGCTCCGGTCGAATTCCGACTTTTTTCGATCTACTAAACCTCCATACATTTCCGAAAATTTTCTGGAGGCAATTAACTTTCTTAATTCTTGGTAATGGCCTTGTGTGTTTCCTCGCTAAATCGCAGCACCAGAGAATTTCGAGTGTGTCTATCGCCCCACGTTGGTCTCACACTATTCGAACAGTCACTAGATGTACTCGCAATTTGCATACAAGTAATTTTAGTAGCACAATCCTCGCAGTTAAAGAATTTGTCCACCATTTTCCCTCCCAGGCCTTCGCTTTCTCGCCCCAATCTAATCAAATGCAAACTTTATCTGTTTGAAAGCGCACCTGTAAGTATCGATGTTATACACCTTTTGAGATTCTGGGCCATAATTTCTCACCGCCTGTACTTCAATGGGCTTCCACCTAATGAGGATCGGGGATTATAAGCCAACTATGCCGATCTGGGTATTGGCCGCCATACATTGAATCCCCGTTCAATGTCATCACCAAGTCATCATAATGTCATCATCACAGCTCAAGAACAGCACGTGTCCTTTAATTGAATGAATCTTTCCTTGAACCGATTTGTTTAGCTGAATTCCTGGTTTTTCAACTCTGTAATCCTAACAGGCACCGCGAATCCCAGCTCACTCCACTTTTGGGGGTACCCTTGTTCCAGACCACTATTTCTCTTTACTGGAAAAGAACATCTTTTGAGTAATGCTTGACATACATTTTCAAGTTCCAGAGTCCGAGCAATCCATAAGTCATTGTCAACAGAGTAAACTGAGATAGGATCATTTTAATGGTAAGTGTTCTTTCGCACCGTTTCCTCCATAAATATATTAACACTCGTGCAGATCAGCACAACTCCAATTGCAATATCACAGCCAAAAACCATCTTCCAGCCCAAGTATTAGGCCCTTTATTTTCAACCCGGAGAGATGAAGCTGCTCTGTTCAAGCGGCCACACCTTTCGTACTTTGAAGAAAAGGCATTTGACCTTTCCATACAAAAGACTATACTTCTCTTCCCCGAGTCAGTAAGAAACACCAGTTGAGTGGTATAACATGGATACACTTCACAGCTCCAAGCGAGAGGACCACCCAACCATACTAATGAACAATTGCTGTTGACTGCTGCAAGTGAAGTACAAGCCAAAGAATAACCGACGCGCCTTCCGAGTTTCCTCCAGAAGGTACACGGATCCACCATCCATACCCCAATCCACTTGCCAGAACTTAACTGCTGTGCACATCAAGATGAGGTAAACGAGCACCATTCCAGCGTTCCGTCCCTTGTGGGACCTTCAAAGCTCCAGTGAGACTTCAACTTCTTTGTAATCATTCTCTTTGGTAAGAACTTCACCTTGAAGACTCGCACTCGTCGTCCATCAAGTTTCACCACAGTCCTGACCAACACGATAAAGATTTCCATCATACACACCAATGGTCTGCCCTCCATTTCTAGTCACACTTTTGTCAAACATTATATATTGGAATTCTTTCTTGTGTGGTTTCCAAAGGACCAAGAGGTGAACTGCTATGCCATATTTCCAGCGTCCATTTTTTCTTAGTTCCAAACCACTAGTGATCAGAACCAAAAAGCCAATATTCTCCATCCAATTTTTAATGATATCAGAGAATCAACCTAGGTGGCTTTTCTTTATAAGGATCTTCTCTAGTGTCCATATGCAATGGAAATTAACTGCTCGATATGCACGAAGTTCTCCCCCTTTAGCACTGCCTCAGGCATCATGTATATCTCCAAGACAGTAATGAAATGCATGAGAACAATCGACAAAAGATCTATTCTTACTATTCAGCAAATGAACATCATTATATGAATTAAGTGCCAAATTCATGTTGTCTTGCCAGGCCCAAACATAAATATAGAATTTGACACACAACGAGGTCCATAAAGTTCCACAGTGAGCATATTTCTATGTTCATCATAATTGGATGCCCACAAGATAAGACAGATTGTTTGTTATGGTCCATCTTAATTTTTCCTTGTTCATCACATTGGTGGCCAACCTATGCTCGCATGTAAGAGTCCAAAGGTTCTTATACCAATTATTATTTTCCAGTCTGAGGACCAACTTCATGTGCGTAACATGAATGCAAAAAAGATTGTGCCCTTACTTCGTTCTGATGGTTGAAAACATAGGATAAGAGAAGATGCCAGTCCTCATCCAAAGGCAATGCCCAATTGGTTGCCAAATATGGCCAGGCCCCATTATCAGTACTTTGCAACTGCAATGTCTTCCTTGCATGGTCCCAAGTGATATCTGGTTTCATAAAAACAGATAAAGTGTGTCGCTTCTGGATCAATTGAATACAAAATCCGAGGGGATTGTTAGGTGGAAAAAAAGAAATAGCACTCAGAAGACTATTTTCAAGAACAAAATAGAAAAGAATTTCCAATTTCATATGCAATGCCAAAGTATAAAGATGGGTATACATAAGGATATTTAGAAAAACACCAACCAATAATTTAAAGCTAAACCTAAGCAAAAAAATGGCATGGTGGTCCTACCAAGAATAGCGATAGCAAATAGCAATTGTTCAATCAAACACTAAGGTTTTGTTTGAAATTAGCTATAAATGGGAATGTTAATAAAATGCAATTTCTAGTGTAATGTTAACACAATAAGTGCATTTAATTACATTGCATTACGGCTTATCAAACACAGAGCCTAAATAAGCTTACAAGTTGATCATAGCATCTTTGCAAATGCCTTCAAAAGGGATCAAACAACACACTTTCCCCACAACAACAAGATCCCAAAAAGATCTTAAAATAAAAATTTCACTGTTATTTCATGAGATTTGTTTTCATTTGAGATTCATTGCACAACATGCTCCTAACAGTCATTTTCCCTGTGTTCTGCAGAAAACTTGAGTTCTAATTCGCCACCTATCGCTTTATAACATCATATATGGCCTTTTCTGTGAAACCAAAAAAATGAATTTTCCTCGCGTAGCAGAAAACTGAGTTCTAATTGCCCTATACTTAAACATCATATTATGTCTTTTCCTGTGAACCAAAATGAAATTTTAACAAATCAGTTAGACAAATAGCCAAGTCAAAAACCTAAAATCCAGGGCCTGTAACTTAACGTCGCCAAGAACTAAGGAAAATAACCATGCAATAAATAACAGCAGACGCTTACCTTTAATACCATCCATTGCATGACATATTCAGCTACATGAAACTACCGCGATATGTTACCCAAAGCAGTTTATAGGGTAATGTTGTCTGTCCAATGAAAACCAACTGCTCCAAGAGGTGTGCCTTCCTTCCATAAAAGAAAAAATTAATTCTGTTCTTGACAGTAGCCCAAAGATTGTACCACCAGTTTTATTAACTAATTTTCAGACCCTTCGATCTAGAAACGCAAACAAGGAACTGCCTACGCAGCGGCCTTCTAATTATCTCTGACACAACAAAGAAGCCAGACTTGTTACAACACCCCTTGGCTAAAAAGTTAACTCTTTCAAGCCCACGCATTGAACCTCATCAAACACCACTAGAAATAGATCCCCAAACAATGGTGAAGGAAAAAGAGCCCTTCACAGGACACTGTCTGTCCAAAATAAAAAAATCGTAAAAATTATCATCCCCTATAATCTCCTAAATTTTTAGAGTGAAAACTTTTCGCAGGAAGAAAGCATAACGCAGAATAAACAGTCAGTGCATGGCACCCTTTAATCACAAAACAATGAATATCCTAGGAGACATGGGGGGGGTAACTACTGGATTCTTAATGTGGACATTACTTGAATCAATTAGACAAAAAGATAAGAAGGCATTCCAAAAAGAAAATCACAATACAATAAAACTACAAGGAAGAAGAAAGGTTTGAGAACAGTGCTGAAGTTTAAGCAACTACATAATCAAAATGCTTCCTACCAAAGAAATCCAATCAATTCCTAGGCATTATTTTATTTGCATAATATTAATCCATTAGATGTGCCAGTCAAGTAGGCAGTTGTCCTTTTAGCTTGTCTTTCTTTACAATGCTCACCTTAAGATCTCCAATTTTAATTGGTATCTTATACCAGAAAATGACAATTCAAGTACCCGTTGATTCTACCTGCATCTCATTTCCGAGAAAACTTGTATAACTCATTAATAATAATAATAACCTATAAAACATTGGGTTCCTTGAAAATCTCATGAAAGAGCAACGAAAAGTAAGTATCTCAACATCAACAATTTCAATGCTGCTGAATGGTATTCATACTTCATTACATACCCTCATCTGCTTACAAAGTTCCAACAAAAGAACTGCCTTGCAGAAACATACAACTGCAACTCTGTTTTCTTTCTGGCCTACAAACAACATCTGGATATTGTTCATGCATTACCCATATGATAGAACTTAAAAATGAAAAAAATTCTAAATACTAGAAAAAAATCTGGCATAATCTGTGCCGCCAAACTTTTTTATCAACTAAAATATCTTGAACTAATGTAATATTTTAGTCAATAACACCGTGGCATTCAAGATTATAAGATAGAGTAGCAGAGGAACACTTCCAAGCAAATTAAGATCACATAAGGAGCCAACTAATAGCCAAATAAAAAGATGTTGATATTGATATATATTACAAATACTAACGTAACTAAAATCCCTTCTGTTAATCTCCACAGGTTAATTGACCATTGAACAAAAAAAGCCATACTGGTGAACACGAGTGATTTCTGCAAACGAGACTAGAAATAACAAGCAAAACATATTATCTTGCAATACACGCATTATAAAAACTCAGAAAAAATTAAAAATATCTAATGCGAACATAATAATACTCTAACCTGAAATACGATAAAGAAAACGGATCAGCAACAAAATTACTGGGGAACCAGCATCTGAGACTGAAGCACCACGTGACAACAGGGTCTCAGCCACATCGCGAAGGGCCTCTTGCCAGCACTCTCACGATTGCTTTCCACACACAGTTTCACGAAACTGTTACCAAATTTCACTCACATGTCAAACCGCAAGAAGTCATAACCAACAACTAACGCTACCAACTACAAGGTTTTTTTTAACCCTTTTGAGAGATAATTAACACAGAAATATCGAAAAGTCCACATAAAAAAATAATTGAAATAATCAAATAATCAATTTTTATTATATGAATATCTTTTCATAAGAATTCACTAACCACACTAAAAGACCAAAAGAATGAAACATATATTCTATGTGTAAATAAAACATCAGAAACAAGCCTATTAACTAAAATGAGAAAAAAAAAAAATACAGAACTGGAAAAACAGAAAGCTCAGAAAGCTAGCCAGCACTCAGATTGAAACTCACAAAAATTTGAACCATATAATGCCCACAAGACAAAAAGCAAAAAATTAAACCCAAAATCAAATTAAAATATCCCCGAATATCGATCATATTTGAGCCTCATTCACAATTGTGGTAAAAAACCAAAAAAAGAAACTTTAAAAAAGAAATTTTCTCCTACAAAACAGTAAAAAAAAAAAATCAGAATAATAGCAATCAGGCCCAAAAAAAAAAAAAAAAAACGAGAGACTTATAGTTTTCAATTGGTTTAAAAAAAGACTTAACCGCCTTCAAATGGTTTTGAGCGAGAAGGGAAGAGTCGCCATAGAAAAAGACCAATTGACCAAGACCCTCATTGTCCTCTTTGACAATCCAACAAGAGGAGGTTAAACCCACAGCATCACTGCCACTCACATAAGGCTTTATTAAACAACAAGCCACCCATAAACACGCCAATTGATCCGTACAAACACCAAACTAGCACAAAAAGGAACTACCAAACCCGGAGACAAGTCTATGGTGAGCAAGTGCTGCTTGGGTTATTCCCATTCTCCCACCTACAACAACAACTTCCATGTTTATTATACAGCGAGAGCTTCCCTGCCAGTTGTAAATACCAAATTGGTACGCACCCCCACCAGCCCTACACCTCCCGCTCCAACAGCCACTGAAACTTCCCATGAATAAATTACGATTATACCTTATACAGAAAGCACGAATTCCGCTATAAAAAGTCCAAACATTTATCTCTTTCCTTTTTTGAATTTCAAAGGGTCTGTTCCTGGCGCTGATTCTTGGTCCCCCTTTTGTCCGTTTTTTTTAGTTTAGTGGCCTTGATATGATTTTTGGGTTATTGGGTTTTTGTACACTTCTTTCAGCTCTTTTCAACAGAACTAGAATTTAGAAGAATGGAAAACGGTGGCGGCGATTTGTGGTTGCCGGAGGTTGGTGGATATGAGGCTTTTGGGTCTTTGTTATTATTAGCAGGAAAAATTGCATTACTGGCAAATATATATATATTATAGAGAGAGAGAGGAGAGAGGGCAGAACGCTGGTTTCACTTGTAGATATTGGTCCACATGTGATGTGATTGGGGAAGGAAATGATTTATCTTACACCTTTCCAGCTTAAAATGTGACATCCACTCGCGAAAATTAAGACCGACAGCTATGATGACATTGTTACAACGTTGGTGTGGGCATTGAATATGGAAAGAAGGTCTGATAAGGGAGCAACGGAGAGAGAGCGCGTGGAACGTGTGGCACTGCCAATTTTGAAAGTGTTCAAGGGTGCATAGGGCTTGTTTGGATGTGGTCAATTTTACTTGGCTGCTATCTTTTTTTTTTTTTTTTTTTCCCTCTTTTTGAGTTTGAAAACATAATGTAATTGTTTGAGATTAGCGGTTGTATTAAATTAATGCCAATTAATGCATATTGAAATGCTCCTGTTTAATGGGTTTTTAAGTTTTTTTTACCAAGGGTTGTTT